ATACCGGCATTCTTACCTTCCTAGCCAGGAATATGGGGAACATCCCGCTACATTCGTGTGCCAGTGGGTTTGGATGTGAGGCCATTGGTGGCACACATACAGTTATGGCAATCACAACTTTTCTCCTTATTCTTCCCTACATCCTATATCTCTGCCTTCGTCATATTCTCCTTTTATTTTTATTTTCACAATCGAAATGAAGTACACTCTGGTCTCCTCCTGGAAGATGTTAGCAAATCATAGTACACATCTATGGTTCATAGTTGTTTGGTGAATGTATTCAGACAGTCCTCTGTATATACCATAAGAGGTCTCTTCCACTCTGACTTCGGCATTTTCCACATCTAAATTTAGGACAACCTTAAAATACCAGTGGAACAAACAGGCTGTGCCTCCGTACCTCCGAGATGAGCGGTGTTATTCTAAGATGGTGTGAACAAGTTTGCTATATCTGTATCTACAGGCTTACCATTTGAGATCTTAAAGGGTGATGTCTGCTTTGCAAACATCCACCATTGCAGTGACACCAGACTTCTTTGTTAATACGTTCGGAACCAGCGTTACCAACTGTCATATGTTGGGCGAGCAGAACAAAAGGCCAAATGAAGACGAGGGAAAGGAAGTGAGAGAGACTAAACCAAAGAAAGCTCGACTAGAATGAGAATATAACACGCACATCATTATCATTATCTGTAGTAGCGGGTTCTTTGAAGAGTTTGATGGCAGTGACTGAGAACTGATTTTTCTTTACATCTGTGTGTTGATTGAATTGTGTGCTATCTTAAACTACTGCAACGAACAGGATCTATTGTCGGGGGTCGACGTGTTACAGAGTCACACACAGACATTCATGCGTGTGAATGTGTGTGTTTTGATTAATAGTTACATAATTTGGAGTTTGCAGATTTGCAAATTGAAAGTAAAATAATGACGAATAATGTTCCTTGACTATAATTCCTTCGGCATCAAGATTTTAAATTCTTGTGAAAATTATGAATTGTAGCAATGACCTGCAAGAATGGAGTCATACTACTTTTAATAAATTAGACTTAGCTCGCTCCTGGCGGTATATCGTTTGTGAATCAGTCTCTTAGAAACAATGGACAAAAACAATGCTAATGCCGAATCGTATATATGAATAATCGTGAATAGACCACCTCTCATCCGGTCCTAATTTATTTACTCAAAAATATCACAACGCCACAGAAGAGAAAATACAGAGAAAACATTAAATAATTCATTTACAACAGAGGGAATCGCGTCTATAAAAATACATCTAGTAAATATCATAAAGCTATTTTTTATTTCGCCAATCACATCATTGTTTAATATTTGAACCACTGCATTTGGTCCCCGATGCTAAACGTTCCTGGGTATACCTATACTTTTTGGTACTCCATGAAAATACTTCCAGGTTTGGAGAAGCGGTTCGAAACCCTTTCGGCTTCTAGATTAAAAACTAGATATCACTTTTAGCTCTCTCCAGACTGAAAAGTAATGTCATGCAAGTGCCGGTCAAATATCCCCAAATAAAGATGAAACTTTATTCAACAAAGCATAATCAAATCCCTTTAACTTTTCACTTTCCAATACATGGAACGGGTGTATCGAGGACCACAATAGTTGCTTTCTTTTCCAAGTATCGGAAAAATGGATGGTCGCTAGGCGACTGATGACACGAAAGTTGCACATCACTCACTCGGGCATTCACAACGGCTTGTTATTTATAACTAACAACGCAGAACATAATGGAGGAATGTAGTAAGTATTAGGCCTCGACACTTATAATACAAAGCTGTGTTAATTTTCTGTCTTATCAATGAATCATCTAGTGTCTGGTGCGTCTGCAATGCACAGTTCGCAGACTTTGGCACGAGTCTTACACGCTGTCGGGTTCGGGGTCGGATGAAAGGTACCAAGAGGCGTTTTCGTCTCGCGAGGAGAGACTCTTGATTGATTTCCTTGTTCCTGCACCGCTTTGCTTTCACGGGTCACCTGCTGCTGAACCGCGATTTCCCTTTGTTGTTCCACCTCGCTCCTTCAAGGTGTATGACACCCAAGCTAAGCACAACGGAACGTACGGCGGAACGGGTTTCACTCGAGTCCATTGGCGGGCAAACACTGCGTGATCAATTCATTATTACGGTTTCTTGCAGTAAACACAATACCGAGGCAGTCCTGTCTGTCCGTGACTAGTTCAAGCCCTCTCGCCCACCTCCATCCCTCCGCTCCCCTCCGCTGGCCACTCTCACCGGGTGTCACCTGCTCTTCCTGCTGTTCGTGTGTAAGTCCATCATAAAGATCTCTTTTTCAGCGTTTGATCCCAATCCTCTAATAAGACAGGTGCACACAATGTACTTTTTTTACAAGTGTTCATCCATATTGCCATATAGATTTACCCATCAATATAGAGAATATATGTATCCATACACGCAAGATGTGCATCATGACAAACATAGAGCGTTTATAAATGTACATGCATGTACACGCCGCAGACACG